TATAGGTGTTTCATTAATAATTAGAAATATTTTAACTGTAGATACCTGGGCTCAAAATATTACGATTTAACCCAGGGCTTTCCAAACGTATTCGTACTGTGACGCCCTTGGGACTGGGGCTATTTTTTTTTTGTGACGCCCCATCAACCCAACCCCAGTTATACTTACCAATTTTGATACTAGCCCAATAACAGGTTATAGTTATAACAAAAACATTATTTGAACATTTATATTTTTTATTAGAAATTAAGAACGAAATCAAAACATAGACACAAAAATGAAAAGGGATATTTATTTATGTAACTGGCTGGTTAATGTGAGGGATGTGCTAGCTTTTTTGAGCACAGCTTATGAAACCGGGGCTCCTAGTTTGGAAATTGCCTCCCTTATTTCTTTTTCAAAGTTTATGTTTGCCCTGTACTTATTTTTAATGTTTTAATTACTGCACCTGCAGAAAAACCCGTTTCGTACAAATACGAAGTCGTAAATGGAAATTAAACATTTAATGTGCAGTGCTGATGGCATGATATTCATGAGAAAGTGAGCTCCAAAATTCAAACAGTTTGTCCTTGTCGCATTAAAGCTTTAGGCAGAAATCATAGGACGATTCTGTCAGTTCTTCTTCTTCCTCTGTTGAAAGTGTTTGATCTTCTAATTTTCTCTTCCATAAGATCAACTTCTTCCTCTTCAGTAATTTTATCTATCAATTGCAGAATATGAGTATTGTTTCCCTGCAAAGACTTATTAAGATCATTTAATTTGTAAAATATGTCACAGAGGTATGCTAATTTTGTTATAAACTCTGAATTAATAACCTTTTGCGCATCATCATGTGATTCTGTATGTAGATACGTGTCAAATTCATTTCTTAATTCTGATACACGTGCGAGTATGTTACCTTTGGACAGTCAACGAGAGTTGCAATAATAAATTAAAGAGCTGTGCTCGGCCCCCACTTCTTCACAAAGTTTATGGAAAAGTCTTGATTTCACGGGTCATGTTTTAATGTAGTTCGCGACTTTAATAATGCTATCTTTCACAACACTTAATTCAGGTGTAACGTTCTTTACTGCTTATTTTCTAGTTGAAAAACAAAAAATAATAATAAGAAACTTGGTAGGTTTACGGAAGTTACGATAGATGCGGCATCATTGCATCCTCTGGCGAGCGATATTGCTGCGATTGGTGCACGTGATCCTAGCTGTCGTAATGTGCAATAGGACTGCGTTACCCTTGCTTAGTTTAATTTAAACTGCCCCGTTGTATGTGCACATTTTGTCATCGCGCATTGTTTCTTTAAAATTTTAAAAGTATTTGTTCGATATGTCCGCGAGTAAGCCTTCGACTTCAAAACGAAAATACGAAGATGATATTGCAATTCGCGATTTTCAACCTGCTTGGGAAGAACAATTTTTATTTACTAATCGTTATACTTCAAAGCCTGTTTGTTTGATATGTGGATTGCCTGTAGCAGTTCCGAAAAAATTTAACCTGGAACGACATTATAAACAACTGCATAAGGACTTCAGCAACAAATATCCTATTGGTTCACATTTGCGAGCCGACTTTATTGAAAAAAAAAAAGAAAACCCTAGCCAGCCAACAGTCACTGTTTCCGAAGAGAAGTGATGAAATGGAAACTATGGTTAAAACATCATATGAACTTTCTCTGCTGTTAGCCCGGAAGAAAAAAGCCTACTCTGATGGAGAGGAGATAATTAAAAATAGTCTGGCAATATTTGCTAAAAATGTGGGAGATGTAAAGATCAAAAATATGGTCGATAATATTGCATTATCCCGAAATACAGTCATGCGCCGTATAGATGATATGGGCCAGGATGTTGTTTCCCAAATTATAAGCGGATTACAATCCTGCAAATTCTTTTCTTTAGCGTTGGATGAAAGTTGTGACAACACAGAAAATGCGCAGTTAAGCATTTTTGTCCGTTATACCAATGATAATTTTGAAAATGCCGAAGAGCTTCTGGATTTGCGCCAACTAGTCACAACAACAGGAGAGGACATTTTTCAACAGCTTAAAAACGTAATCGAAGTCAACAAAGTTGAATGGTCAAAATTAGATAGTGTTTGTACAGATGGAGCTCCTTGCATGGTTGGTAGACTAAAGGGGTTTGTTACATTACTGGAAAACTATTTGGGAAGAAAAGTTTTTAAGTACCATTGTATTATTCACCAGCAAGCTCTTTGTGCCAAGGACCTAAACATGTCATCTGTTGTTGACCCTGTAACACGCTGCATTAACAAAATACGAGCTCGGGCATTGAATCGACGACAATTTCGAGAACTGTTCGCGGAAGAAACGGAGCAAGATGGAGAGTTACTTCTCCATTGCAGTGTGCGCTGGCTCTCCAAAGGAAATGCACTCGAAAGGTTTTGATACTTGAAGGAGTGCGTCTTAAAATATTTGCAAGAAAACAATGAACTACCCAGTGAGTGCCCGTTACTTATTGATAAAGATTGGCTTTGGGATTTAGCTTTTCTCACTGATGTTATGAGACATTTAAATCTATTAAATTTAAGATTACAGGAAAAAAATTGTATTTTTCCTACTCTAGTTGGTAATATATTTCTTTTGTGAATAAACTTATGCTTTTTTGTAACGATTTTGGAGAACAGAGATTGACACATTTCACATTAATGCAGGAATTAGCCAACAAGGTCAGTAGAACTCCAAATTATGACAGATTTAAAAACCTTATATCTATTTGGCTAGGTTTATTCAATACCCGGTTTGAAGATTTTCAAAAAGACAAAATGAATGTTGACCTTTTCATAAATCCTTTTTCTATTTCTCTGCAAGATATCAATTGTTACTCAGCTGAAATACAGATCGAAATTATTGATTTACAGAACCACACTATACCAAAAACCAAATATAGGGAAATTATTTCAACTGTTACTGATCCCAATTATATTGAATTTTGGAAATTTGTACCAGCAAACAATTTTCCTAATTTACACGAGTTAGCTCTGAGATATTGTTGTAGATTTGGTTCAACGTACGTTTGTGAGCAAATGTTCTCTATTATGAACATAATAAAATCAAAATATCGGTCACGATTAACTGACATGCATTTAAAAAATCTAATTCTGTTGGCTAGTTCCGAAATTAACCCAAATATAGATGAATTAATTAAAAAAATACAAGTTCAAATACCACAATAAATAAGTAACTGTTTAATAATTTGAATTTTAGATAATAAGAAAATATTTAAGTTTTTTTGTTTAACGTTTTTATTTTATTTTTATTAACAATAAAGTAAGTTTGTTGTTATGTTTTACTTATTACGTTATTTTTTAAAGCTCCACTATCTTGACTAAACGGAAAAATGTGGAATTTACATAAGAAATACATATTGTACCGTATATTATTAATATATAGTATCCATATTAGTATGTCGAAAAATTTTAGTGGCACGCCAAATTTTTTTTGTTCTCATATTGGCACTCGACTTAAAAAGGTTGGCCACCCCTGATATATGCAATAATTATTTTCATTACAAGTTTCTACTGTATGGGAGATCTGTCTCTCTACTGTCCTTAGACAATTTATGTCTCACTTGTATATGTTTTAGAAATTTTCTTTCTAACGTCGCTAGCAGCTTCACATCGCTTTTTGGCAGTGTCCATGTTTCCTACCTATATTTAGGACTGGTCTGATTAGTGTCTTGTAAATTTTACAAATCTAATATAGTTTTTAATTGTGATGTATATTCTCCTTTTGATCCTCCTCCTAAGTGCCTTCTCTGTTGAGGTTGGCGATCAATATGGCAAATTTCTCTCTGTTCTGGGCTTGATGAATTAATTCATTTCCTCTTGTGTGGGTCCAATCTCTGATGTTTCGTAGCCAAGATTTTTTCTTTCGTCCTATGCCCCTTTTACCTTCAATCTTGCCTTCTAATATTACCTGGAGCTGCTCAAATTCCCTATGGCGCATTATGTGTCCTAGATATGACGTCTTTCTAATTTTGATAGTATTGACCAGATGAGGGCGTGTGTTCATTACTCTCAGTACTTCTTCATTCGTAGTTCTGCTGGTCCAGCTTATTCTTAACATTCGGCGGTACATCCACATTTCAAATGAATTTAATTTGTTGACGTCATACTGTTTTAATGTCCAGGTCTCACAGCCATATAGTAATAGAGACCACACGTAACACTTTAGTGTTCTCAATTAGTGATGTAACAAATGTCATTTTTTAAACATTCGCGAATGCGAATGCGAATGCGAATATATGCCACCGACATTCGCGAATGCGAATGCGAATATTCAGTTTTTTTTTTAATTTGGCAATTTTAATTGTCTGCGGCACTGCCGGCAGTCTCATTTGCGCGAGGTGTGTAGGCAATTGGAAAAAGTCTGTCATTTTTAACTGCTTTAAATTGTCCAGTATCATTCTATCATATTTGCTACAGATGTGAAACAGTTGTATTTATTGTAAAGAAGTTTATTGTAGGCGGTTAAGTTTATTGAGGGGTCGTTTAAAAAGGTATTTATTTATAGTCACGTCCGGGCCAAAAACGTAGAAAGCACGTTTTTCGATCTTATTTTCTCTTGTTATAATCAAATTTGACTTGTTATAGAGAGAAAGTTATAGCAGAGAACTAAGTTCTCTGGTTATAGTTCCAATAAAAATTTCACGGGACACAAGTCACTCCACTTGCCCTGCTCTGCTCGTGCACAAATACAGGTGAATTTTTAGTTAAAGTGTGATTAGCGATTTATTACTATGAGTAAATCAAATTATAGTGAAATATGGACTTATTTTTCACCACTTTTTGATACTGAACGAGCTAAATGCAAGCTGTGTCACAAAGAATATTCGAGAAAAGGAAGAACTACAACGGCTATGAGAAATCATTTAAAGGCACTGCATAAAACTGAGTTTTCCAAATTAGAAGAGTGTGAAAACCGAAAAAAAGTTGCTTCTAAGTCACTTGAACAGGCATCATCTTCCCATCAAGGTACTAAATCTGCCATGAAACAAATATCGCTTCAAGAATTTGTCGATAAAACGAAACAGTGGGATAATAATTCTTTGAAATCATTGGCAGTGGATAATTCTATAAGTGAAATGGTTGCGTTGGAGGACTTGCCATTTAGTTTCGTGGAAAGTGTTGGATTCACAAGACTTATCAAGCATTTGTGTCCGCCTTACAATTTAAAGTCGCGTCAGTATTTCACTTCATTTATATGCGATAAATTATTTGGCAAAGTAAGTCAGAAAATTCTTGAATTACTAAAATCCTTCGAAAAATTATCATTTACTACCGACATTTGGTCTGATAATTGTTCTGGAGTTTCATTGCTGAGTTTAACTTGTCATGGGATAACAAAAGAATTTGAAAGGAAAATGATAGTGTTAAAAGCAGAAGTGTTTAATGAAGACCGCCACACCGGAGAAAATATTGCTCATAAACTTAAAGATATCTTGTCGGTTTGGGAAATACCTAAAGAAAAAGTGAAATGTGTAGTTCGCGATGCAGGTGCTAATATCAAAAAAGGTGTTAACTTATTAAATGTTAAACATATTGACTGTACTTCTCACAAGATTCAAAATGTGTTACAAGCAGGGATGAAGGCTCAAGAATCTGTCGTGGCTGTCAAAACAAAATGCAAAAAGATGGCAACTCATTTTCATCATTCGACTGCTGCCCAAGATGAGTTGACCAATATACAAAAAAGACTTAATCAAAAACCTCTTAAGATTATTCAAGAATGTGCTACTAGGTGGAACAGCACTTTTTATATGTTCGAGCGTATTTTTCAAGTCAAAGAGTCATTATGTCTGTACGCTTCGTCAAATGATAAAATTCCTCAGCTGGCTTCTGAAGAGTGGATGATTGTTGAAAAACTTATCGGTTTACTAAGACCATTTGAAGAAGTGACCAGAGAGTTAAGTGCTGTCGATGTTTCTATTTCTTCTGTAATTCCCTTAATTGCTACTCTAGAAAAAGTTGTTCATGATCTTGATTCATCCGATGAACACATTGGTGATACGATTACCGTCATAAAAGATGAGCTTATTCGCAAGTTTTCTGGTTTAGAGAATGAAATATTGTTTGCCACGGCGACCTTTATTGATCCAAGATACAAAGCAAAATTTTTTAAAAATACGTCGACTAAAGAGCTTGTCATAGAGCATATTTTGGATTTGCTCAGAGACAATGAAACCGACATATCTTCCAATTCACTTTACCAGAATGCAAAGCGTGTTAGATTAAATAATAAATGCGAAGATTACGAAACAGACAACAGTCTATCCTTAAAAGAAACGATGAGTTTACTGATGGATACGAGTGATAGTGAAGAAGATGACATGGCTCTTCCTGGTTTTCAAAACTCTGTCCATTTTTTAATCCGTAAAACTGTCACAGAATACTCATCGGAAAAACGCGTGGCAGGTGACGTCGACCCTCTAACATGGTGGAAAGTGAATAAGGGAAGGTACGATCTTCTTTTTCCTGTAGTTCGGCAATATTTAGTTACACCACCAACGAGTGTCCCGAGCGAGCGCTTGTTTAGTGGCGCTGGACTTCTTTATACGCCACATCGAAACAGACTTGAAGGAGAAAAGGCGTCAAAGCTATTATTTCTAAAGTTTAATATTCCTCTATTAAATTTTAATTATTAAAAAATAACAGTTCTCTGTTTTTATTTATTGTTAAAAACAAACTTGAAAAATAAGTAAAAACAGACAATTGTTGTTTTTTAATAAGAGAGGGCAGTATTTTTGTTTAATACAAACACAAAATTAATATAGCTTGTAAAACAAAGTGAGTTTTGTTAATAAAAAAAACTGAGAAGAGAATGGATTTTTATTTTATTAACCTAATCTTCAAATTATTATTTTTCTTTTATTCATATTCGCAAAACATTCGCACAAATTTTGCGAATGCGAATGCAAATGCGAATATGCAAAAATATGCGAATATTCGCGAATGCGAATGCGAATATTCGTTACATCACTATTCTCAATCTTATTGAGACTGATACCTTGGGGTTACAGAATATTTTACGCATATTCATGAAACCAGATCTTGCTATTTCAATGCGTCTTCTAATTTCTTTTGAGTGGTCTAGTTGACTATTTAGCTCTCTGCCCAGGTATATGAAGCTTTGGGAACTCTGAAGGGTGATACCATTTATTTGTATGTTAGTGTAACTTGTTCATGGGGTTTTTGTGGAATACCAGAATTTTGGTTTTGGAAAAGTTAATGTCCAAGCCCAGCCTGTGACTTTCTTCTGATAATATGTTCATCAATATTTTTAGTTGGTCTTCTGTTTCTGCTAATACTACGGTGTCATCGGCATATCTTATATTGTTAATGATGATTCCATTGACTCTGGCACCTTCAGGGCGATCTTCAAGAGAAGCTCTAATTATATGTTCGGCATATACAATAAATAATAGGGGGAACAAAATGCACCCTTGACGCACTCCTCGTTCTATGTTGATGTACTTGGTGTTTCCGTTCTCTGCTAGAACGCATCCTGTGTAGTTCCAGTATGTATTACTTATGATAGCTATGTCGTGTCCGTCCAACCCTACTTCTTTTAGCACCTCAATCAATTTTCCTTTTTTGATGCAGTCGAAGGTCTTTTCTTTTGATCACTTTACTAATATTATTCTCTGAAATGACTAAAGATCCTAAAGTATCTTCACCGAGTCGAGATAGTGCACCAAAACAAATAAATAGGCCTTGTACAGGGATACGAATATTTTAACTGGTTGAAGGTTCTGACCGCTCCACCCTCTTCAGGGGTGTACTCTGACACGATTAATATGTTTTTTACATAACACTTGAAACTACGTCAAATTTTTAGCTTAAGTAATATACTAGGAAAGGCAAGAATTTTTTAGGATGGGTTTTTGGCAGTTTTGAAATGTTTAAAGTTTTAATTATAATGTTGAATTTATTGTTATTTTAAAAATGTCACATAATGTGACATTTAGTTGATTAAACCTTTTAATTGTATGAAAATTATAGATTTTTGATTGTGATTGAGTTTTACACTTTCAGATTAGAAATGAAAGATTAATTTAAATATTCATTAATAAAATAATAATAAACAAGGTATTTATTAATATATTCAAAGAAAATTAAATGATATTAGAAATAGGGATTTGTTTGTAAATGAAAAATATTTAATGAGCGACATTTATGTGACAGAACCCTTACAATATAAAAGAAAATAAGTGAAAAAAAAGAGGTCATTCAGGTTGTCAGAAAAATATGGTAAAATAATAATAAACATTAATATAAAGTATAAAGAGCGTCTATATTATCCATTTTAAAGTTAACAAAATTTGTAAGAGTGTGTGAAATAAATAAAATGTGGTTTGGCATTTAAAAATATTAATTATTCCTAAGCAAGTTTCTAAAGTTATATAGATATTTATCAAAGCTAAACCAAAAATTCAGCCAATACTACTAAGTGATCTCAAATATTTCAATTTCAGAAGAATAAATCAAAATGGCTGCCTAAATTTATATCAGTACTTACTTTATGTGGTTAGTTCCTTGATGTTGATCATCAATCAGCCAATTGCGTCCACTGCTGGACATAGGTACCCCTCAATTCCTTCCAGTGTTCACTTCACTGGGCTACTTGTCCATCTAGTCGGTGGTTGTCCTGGGATTCTTTTATATAATTCTGGGATGTCCTGGGTGGTCGTCCTGGGATTCTTTTATTATAGTTTCTGGGCCTCCATTCCATGATTCGTCATTCCATGATACGTAAGCTTAGTAGTTCTTTCAATGACGTCGTGAACTCCTGATCTTTACCTGATTTGTTGGTTTGTTATGTGGTCTCGAAGGCATTGCACGTTCCATGGCTCGTTGTGTAACTCTGAGTTTATTCGCAAATTTTTATGTCAGTGTTGATGCTGATAAGTTGTTGTAAAAATACAATCAGTATTTTTACTCCGATGAGGAATAACTGCATATGTCACTCTCACTATTAGGACCAACTTCTATAATTACTGGTTCCACTATAACCTCCATAATATTATCCAGCTCCCAGAACTTTTTTTCCACTATATTCTTAACGTGATCCACACAATTTTTCCATTTTTCTGGGGTGATGTTGTTAACAGCTTCATCAAAAAGGTTTTTTACATCTGCGAACTTGAAAGTTTTGTTATTAGCAGCAACAAAATTTTTAGCGTCAGCCCATATGAGCTCAATTGGATTGAGCTCACAATGGTATGGTGGTAAACGTAACACGGTTTTATTTTGTTCTCTTGCCATTTCGTCTACGACACATTTATTGAACTTTGCCTTAAGGGGGGCCACTAATTGTAAAAGTTCCACTTTTAACATATCATCATCGAAATAAATGTCTTTTGACTGTAGCCATTGTTTTATTTTTTGTTTATTCCATGATGTTGTGGGTATCTTTTCAATTTTCCGGGAATGATAAGAGGCATTATCAAGAACTATCACACAATTATCTTCTAACCGAGGCAATGTACTTGCAAACCACCTTTCGAAGCTCTCAGCGTTCATCTCTTCATGATAATCGCCGCTCTTTTTTGAGTCAAACATCCATAAACAATCTTCTACAAATCCTGTTTCACTCCCTATGTGGGTAATAATAAGTCTTTTTCCCTTGCCCGATGGATTTTTAAGACCTGTTGAAAAACCAGACAAAAATGCCTGCATGGAAGATTTCACCGTTTCGTCAACCCAAACATGGGATTTTGTGTGTCCTGAATTTACCCATGTTTCGTCTAAATAGTAAATTTTTCTATTTTGTTCCCGAAATTTTTTTATGGATTTTAAGAAATTTCGTCTCCACAAGATGATGTCGTCTCGATCTAACAAAGCACTATTTCTGCCCCTCCGTACGTATTTAAAATCAAGTGATTTGAGGAGTTTATAAAATGTAGTGCTTTTAAAATTCGGCAAGCTTTCGTCCTCATTAACAACTGAAAGAACTTTGTGTATAGTAGGTATTTCGTTTTTAAAAAAAAATTGATGCACAATTCGTCGTATGGCCGATTTATCGGCATCATCAATTTTGTCCAATATAGTTTTCCTGGGCTTAGTCTTTTTCGGGGAAGAAAATGTTCCGGTATTCTTCTGCTCTTTAAGAATTCTGTACACAGAAGCTTCACCTACGCCACAAGAAATAGCTGTCTGTTTCACTATTTCCGATACCAAAGCTTCTGGATGCGATTCTATTGTCGATGTATAAACATTATAAATAACACTTTTTTCAGTACTACTAAAAGGACGCATTTTTGATCGCTTTTTTGGTGTAACTTCCTCCGCAGAATCGGTAGAACTGGACATTTTAACTTAAAAATTAGAACGCACAAACTTGGACTTAATAAAACTAAAAAACTACTATTTTAAATTAAAAATTAGAACGCACAACTTTGAAAAGTCTTAATAAAACTAAAAAACTACCACATAAACTTTAAATTAGCAAACAAATAATTATTATAAACACAAATAGTTCATTTTTAGATCGAGATACAGAAATAAACGTTAACGCGAAACTACTCGACTGATACTGAATAGGGATGCGCGATGTTCATTGTTAAATGAAGACATTGACCACCAACGATCTTAAGTTTTAGGAAATACCATAAAATTATTATCTATAAAAATTCACAGAATGCTACATAAGAAATATTCAAATTAAAATACTTTTATTATGGTTAAGATATTGCCCTGTTGTTAAAAGATTATAGTTTATTATTATACCTGCAAACCTTTTAAGGTAGGTATTACTTTAATGTTATTCAAATTCGCTAAGACTGGCCGGAACATCTTGTTTAGATTATTTCTATAGTATAGCATACTAAGAATTTCAAAAATAATCATTTTCCCTATCTTTTTGAAAGCCGTTTTTAAACAATACAAAATTGGGAAGTATTAAAGAATTACAAACGTATTAAAAATGATATTCAAACTTATTCATAGTAACAGAAATACAAGATAAATTGCGTTATCGAATTTATTTTTAGGTAAAGTGCATTTTGATATTTTTTTTAAATCAGACACTAACGTAGACAGAACATCACCGAAAACAAGTCCAGTCCTGAAACAATAGACCACGCCTACTTGTTTACGCTGGCTATCACGACTGAACGTAAGGACTTTAGATATAAATTTATCACGTGACATTTAAATTAAAATGGTTAATTTTCTACGGATGTTTTCAAACTAAATGTGTGTCACACTGTATATGGCCTGTATTCTCAGTAATATTGTAAAAAAATATTGCAAAACGTTGATTTTTACCTGCCCTTACGCATTATTATTTATTAAATTGAGTAAACCAGTGGTATTAGCATAATATACACCAAATTATTCCAACACCAATTAAATTTTCCTAGTTATTTGGTTAGAATGAACAAGATAAGAAAGTGTGTTTTAGTAGGCAATTTTGGATCCGTTTGTTGCCATGAAACTTTCCAGAACTTCTGCAAGGAAACAATTTTAGAAATGATAAAATTTCATCCACGTCGCGAATACGGAAGCATTATCTCGTTATCCTTTCTATACCGATTCCTAGAAGCGGTCAACAAACGAAGTGTCCCAGTTTACAGATCTAGATATTGTGTTTACTTTCTTATACTCGTTCAAGTTTAATTCTAAATTGGGTTATTTGTAGTCT